CAGGGCACAAACCCCGCCTGCTGGGACATGCACGGATCTGAGGGAGCCCCAGGTGGAGAGGGAAGGGAGGCAGGGAGGGGCGAAGGCCGAAGCGAGCAGAGCGGTGGCACGCGGCTGCTCTGTCACCACCCGGCCGCCACAGACGGCACCGCCGCGCGGACGCCGCTCGAGACGGTGGAGCGGATCGCACCACAGCTATTGGCCGGAAAAGGACGGGGGGGGCGTCCAGCCCAACCAATGAGAGCGAGCTCATAACCCCACCGAGCCAATGGACGGCCTCGCTTTTCCCTTCGCGCGCCGTGGCGCCGTAGCCAATCGCAAAGGCGGTGCGCCGGGGCCAGAGGTCAGAGGTCGGCGCGGCGCCCCGGAAGTGGAAGCCGGCGCTGCGCTGCCTTCCATTCTCTCTCAGCCCGCGGCGCGCACGAGGTGTTCCCGCGTGGGCCTGCGTTTCTCGGGCCGCCGCCGCGCGCCCCGTCGCCATGGTGAGGGCGGCGCTCGCGCGGCGCGGCGCGGCTCGACTCGGCTCGGCTCGGCGCGGGGCGGGCAGGGGGCGGTGCGGGGGCGGCGGCCGTTGTTAACGGTTGGGAGGGGCGGGCGGTGCTGACCCGCGCTCTCCCCGCAGAGCCTGCCCCTCAACCCAAAGCCCTTCCTCAACGGGCTGACGGGGAAACCGGTGATGGTGAAGCTGAAGTGGGGGATGGAGTACAAGGGCTACCTCGTCTCCGTCGACGGCTACATGAACATGCAGGTGAGGGCCGGCGAGAGAGGGAGGGAGGGCTCAGGGCCCTGGGTTCTGCTTGTTGGTGGGGGGAAAGCAGGGCGCTTCTGGGCTGCCCTCAGGTCTGTGTGGCTGGGGTTGCTGCGGGTGGAAGCGGCGGTGAGGCTCCTGTTGGTGTAATCTTTGTGCTGGTTTTCATTTTAAGCTTGCGAACACAGAAGAGTATATCGATGGTGCGCTGTCTGGACACCTGGGGGAAGTTTTGATAAGGTAATCGTGGTGCCTAAGCAGGAGAATGGGGTCTTCTAAATCTTGTGTTACTGCTTCTGTTAAAGCTTGTGGGTCTAGGGGCTGTGATTCTTGTCTGCACTGGAGCATTAAACGTCACTGTAACTCTTGTGTGAAGGCTATGGGCTGTAACTGTTAAGCTGGGATCCCTTCTGAGGAGAGAAATAGATAGTTTCAAAAAGAAAAGTATTTAAAGAAGTATTTATGATCCCTTTCTCAAGTAACTAAGCACCTTAGTTCTCCAGCTTATTGCAGGTCTGTAAATCCTCTTGGTAGTAGTAGAATATACGAGGATGCATAAGTTAGTGTTGCAGCTGCTGAAAACATTGTGTGCTTGGGAATAACACTTGACCATGATTGTTAATCCACATGCAAAACTTACTTGTACATCACTGTTAATTGCATACTGCTTTCATAAACTTGTCTTGTATTTGCAGTGAATCTTTATGGAAAAGCTGACCAGTGTCAACAGTGGCCATTTTTTGCACAGGTCTTGAGTGTTGCCAGGTTGCAGTCAAGTAGGAAAATGCTTAAAGCAGTGTATTTGTGAGGGAAAGAAGGCATTTCAACTAAGGGAATTCTTGATTCTATTTACAGGTGCAATAATGTTTTGTACATCAGAGGCGTGGAAGAAGAGGAAGAAGATGGAGAAATGAGAGAATGATGTTTTGTATGTCTGGAAATAAAGTTTTTTCTTTTTTTTTTTTTTCTTTTCCACAACTTTGTAATCAGGTGTTTATTTTTGTTGTTCTTGTATTTTACTATGGGGGAAGTTCACCCTTAAAAAGGTCTCTGGTGTTTTATTGCTGTCCAGAAAAAATGCTGGAAGAACAGCTAATTCTTTCAACTTTAAACTGAAAGTCTTAAAGTGAAAACAAAGTATGAAACAAAAAAAGAGAAAAAAAAATGAAAAAACACCACACAACTAAAATTTGCAATTATTACTGGTATCAATGTAGGCCTTTTCTTTCAAGGGAAGTACTGGAATTTAAACGCTTCCCAGAATGAATTAAATCTTCCAAGTTGTGTTCTCTAAGACAAAATAGATGGCTCATTCTCGTATCACCTCAGTGTGGGTCAGTGTCAGGGCTGTGCTGTTGCAGGGCTGTGCTATGGTGCAGGCTCACCTACAGTAGAAGATAAAGAACTTTGTGTCTTTAGCATGTAACTCACAGCTACTGTGACAACAGAGGAGTCCAGGAGTAGATTGAGGGCGCTGCAGGAAAGAATCAAAGGCAGGAGAATCTTGTGTAGTCCTCATAACTAATATCCATACACAAAGAGTCTCAGCGGCTATAAAGGTTCATGAATTTCAGTGGCATTCATAGAGTTAAAACACCCTGTGAAATGGGAATGCCTGGTCTTAGTCTGCCATATTATGAAAAATAAACACCAAAAGTAACAACAGACCACTCTTAGCTTTGGGCATCCAGAATACTAAAGTTTTGGCAGAAATGCAATAACTTTCTCAAATGTTAAGAGCAACCATTGACATTAACTGAAGCTGTTCCTTACCTATCAGCATTACCTGATGACAACCATTGCTTTGCTAATGCTGCTAGTCAGAGCCTCCCCATGTGAAGAACCTCCTGCAGCTAGAGGTTGGAAAGGCATTCTGCAAGCCAGAACACAACTGGCTATACCTCATGGATTTGTGTGTAACTTTGTCCCTTCTCATCAATGACTGCTTGTCATGTACATCTGTTGTCAAATACAGATGTATACTTTCCATTTTGCAGATGGAGAAAATAGAGCAAAAGCAGGCAGTGACCCAGCTGTGGAGGTAAAACTGCCTGGCACAGAATATGAAACCTGCTCCTGTATCAGTGTGGTTCACTAAACTGTGGGCAAGCCACTGCAACTGTGCTTCAGTTTACTAAAGAAGAATGCCCTTCTCAAGGTTTTAAAGTGAAAAAGGCCCAATTCTGTTGAAGAAATCTCTTATATGTTCTCATCAGGAAAAGAGCTGATTAAGCTAAAGCCAGTACTAGCAGAATAGATCAGTACTTTTAAATTTGAGCTGGACTTAGGACACCTCAAAACAAGTGGAGCAAATGTGTTCCAAAACATTTCAGTAGCAGGAATGAGAGGCAAAACAATATCTGGTTTATGATACAGCATGCACAGTTTAACACATGATACAGAATGAGGCCTTTCCCAAGTTCCCATTGAAAATGTCAGCAGTGGAGGTAGATATTAGGGAAGAAGGTTGGAACTCAGCAGCCAGCAGCTTCTCTTACTGAGGGCTGCTCCTCTGCTCATGGAGGAAGTGGGGCTAGGGTGAGCTGGGTGCATCAGCAGATGGTGCCATCACTGTGATAACATCTGTGTGATAGTGTTAGCTTTTCAGAATAACTGGGAAGCTCTAGTGTATGCTGGCAGGACTGAACTGCTGTGCTGAGCTTCACAGTGTGCTGTGCTGCATGCTTGACACGTTGGCTTGTGCTGTTGCTGCTCTTTAATTTCTGTTTTCGTACATACTGTGATACTGCTGGGGAAAGCCAAAATAAGCAGCAGGAACTCCTGGAAGTACAGCACCACCTTCCACCTCTCTTGTTCATCTTTTGCATGCCTGGTGAGGGAGAATGCTCTGAAGGAAGACACGCATTGCTTTGTGGTTCAGCATTTGAGCCAACATACCCATCTGTTTCTGCTATATGGGAATATGTGCATGCACTTCAGTGTTGCAAGTGTTATACATTGATCCCTTTTCTAAATGAAAAGAGGATATCTAAAGACTACTGCCACAAAGGCAATTGAGGGACCACCTGGTTAGAAATAAATTCCACTTGCCAGCTGGGGATTACTGGAGCCCTATTGCTCACTATGTCTGAAGAGAGAATTATAGAATCACAGAATCACCTGAGTTGGAAGGGACCCACGAGGATCATCAAGTCCAACTCCTGGCTCCACACAGGACCACCCACAAATCAGACACACTCAGTCTGAGAGTGTTGTCCTTGAACTCCGTCAGCTTGGAGCTGCGCACTGCCCTGGGGATTCTGTTCTGTGCCCACCGCCTTCTGCTGAAGAACCATTCCCACTCGACCCGCCCTCCCCTGACACAGCTCCATGCCGTGCCCTTGGGCCTTGTCGCTGTCACACAGAGCAGAGCTCAGCGCTGCCCTTCCGCTCCCTGTGAGGGCCTCAGCTCCTCTGCTCCGGGCTGAGCTAACCAGGGGACCTCAGCCGCTTTCATACGCTTTGTCCTCCGTGCCGTTCAGCACCTTCGTAGCCCTGCGCTGGACACGCTAGAGTGTCTAGAAGAAAACTGAACATCCATATTTGCTCCCTGGCTATCCCATCCCCAACTCTGCAGGGGGCAGCAGATTCTAACCAACCTTTTGATCACGGAGTTGGGCAATCAGTGTCTGCCCCAGTAAAGGAATGTCGGTCTGGGTGCCTGGAGCACCGCCAGGCATTACGTTCCCGTGGGGCTGGGCTACGCCCAGGCCAAGCACACCATTCAGAAACTCTCCATTCCGTTGTCGGGTTTTGCTGCCCACCTCCAGGGCAGCCCCGGCTGGACAGGAGGGGTCACGCTCCGCCCCGGGGGACTTTGAGCTGAGCGGCAGGCTGCCCTTCTCTCCGGCCACCATTTGTGCCATCGGGGGCATCGGGCTGCCTGCGGCCATGGCGGGCGAGTACCGGCTGCTGCTGGCGAACGCCCGGCAACTGGTGCTGGTGTGCGGCCACGGCGAGCAGTACTTGCTGCGGGAGGGCATGGCGAGGCTGGACGTGCTGCACGATGCCAGCCTGGTAGTGGGGCTGTGAGTGCTGTGAGGAGGGCTGGGAGGAGGCAGCGCGTCCCTGGGTCGGCGCTGGGGCTTAGGTCTGGGCTTGGAGATGCATCAGTGATGTTCGCCAGACCCTGCCCTGGGCTGGAGAGCTGGTGCCTCAGGTGCTCTGCCAGCGTCTCAAAGCTGAATTCGATATCGTGCTCAGGCATTTGTGTGCTGCCTCCTGTTTGCAGAGATGGCTGTATAAAAGCCGTGGGCCCGGCAGATGCTATCCGCCGCCGCTTTGCAGGAGCAACGTTTGAAAGTAAAATTGACTGCACTGGGAAGTGCGTATTGCCAGGTGGGTGTGTTATGCCTTACGTTGTCAAGGGTCTGCAAGCCTGAGGGGCTTTGTAGGGAGCTTCTGCTTTGTTTGACTCGTTTGTGTGCTCCCACAGCTCTGTCACACAGCGAAATAACGGGTGTGTGTGTATGCTGTGTTTCCTTTAGGCCTGGTGGATGCGCATACACATCCTGTGTGGGCTGGTGATAGGGTGCATGAGTTTGCAATGAAGGTAACAGCATGCAATCACAGAGCTGGGCTTTTCCTTCCCTCTCCTCTCTCCCCTCTCCCCCCTTTTCTTTAATTTAATGCTTAACCTTTTCTTCTTTCTGGTGACACCTGTGTTTGTTCTGTAGAAAATGATATAATTTCTGTCAGGTAATCTAATAAAGGGAGGAGGAGTGATGTCTGAGGACTGTAGGCTGCGAGGGCACTGTGAATGTAGCTTTTGCAGCCAGCCTGAGTGTGTTTATGCCTTGACTCCTGGCACTTCTTGTGTCAGGAGTGTCAGTTTCTGTTACCATTTTCATCTTGAAGTCTTTTTTTTTCCTTCTTGTTTTTACACATAGAAGAATCTTTAAGAAGTAGGTCTTCTCCTTAGGCTCAGAGGGAAGTAAATCTTCAAATGAATTCTTCTTATGCTGCTTTTTACATCATTTCTTTGCTCAGGTGGAGGAGACAGATAGAAGAGGAGGGAGGACAAATTAATGGGGATTTCTTTTTCCTCTTTCTGTCTATCGCTGCAAAAAGACCTCAGAGCACTTTCCAGATAGAAAATTCACATTTAATGGCTAATTTTATGTGTGTGGTGGGTGTTTTTGTTCCCCCTTTCTCCCCCAAGCTGGCAGGTGCTTCCTATATGGAAATCCACCAGGCTGGAGGAGGAATACATTTCACTGTGGAACACACTCGGAAGGCCACAGAAGAAGAGCTGTTTGCTACTTTCAAAGACCGACTTGAACGCATGTGCAGAGCAGGATCTACTTTGGTTGAGTGCAAGAGTGGATATGGCTTGAACTTAGAAACAGAACTCAAAATGCTGAGAGTGATTGAACGTGCTAGGCAGTCCATGGATATTGGCATTTCTTCAACTTACTGTGGAGCTCATTCTGTGCCAAAGTAATATAACTTATTTTTTCTTGCTATTTTTGTTACTGCTTTGCATTGAAATTAGGCTGTTATTTTGAGAAAAACAACTTCTGACCAACCTTTCTAAAATATAACAGAGTATATTCAAACCTATACATCTGTGTTACCCAGTTTGGGTCTTCTTAAATCCCCTTTTTTTCATTCACATGCTCATATCCAGATTATTCTACTTGGATTTTCTGTGACCCATCAAACTTAAATTCTGCCTCAGGCTTTTATTTTGGCCAGGAGGAATTTTGCAGCTCTTCCTAATCTGAGACCTGAATGTTCAGAGCACAGGCCCTCTGCTGGCTCATGAATGTTTGGGTGAGTTACATGCTGAGGGAAGCATCAAGTTTTCAGTTCTTGATTTCCTTCAGTCTAAGTAACAGTGTAGGATCTCAAAGGAGCACATTGCCCATGGTTTTGGGGCCGGAAAGTGCTCTATTTAAGGATTCAAATGCAAATAAGATTATCAGTTTGTTCCCCCAAATGTGAAATCAAGACTTAATGTTTCCCTCTGTTTTGTCTTGGCTCTGGTTCTAATCTTTACATTCAGATTACTCCAAAGACTGCTGAGCCTAAATTAGAAAAGGGAGAAGGCCTGACATGAGCTCAGGCAATCCAGACTGTTTCAGTAAGAGGTGAACAAAGGAAGGGCAGTGTGCCAGGTTTTACTGTGCTTTGTGACTGCGCAACTGTGTTCATAAATCAGAATAGAATGTGAGTTCTTGAATTTACTGCCACTGTAAAACTGAAAACTCACCCACATATGAAGCTCGTCATGATTTTACGGTGCCTGAAATGAGGATAGAGATGTCACCGACATTTAGCTGCAGTATGTCACTTATCTCTAGATCTTAAAATTGCAGAATGCTAATTTCAATATTGGGATTGTTAATTATTTCAGAAGCATTTACACTCCTGGGTTATCTTTGTGTAATTGGGGGTTCATAAATGATTCGGACATTGGCAGATCTAATCTCAGGAGCTCTGTCTGATTTAGAAATGGTTATCTAGCTGTTACTCTGAATGATATCATCAGAGGAGGAGATAATGATTTATGCTATACATACTCTTTGAGCTTTGATATTTACATAAAAATATTGCATGAATATCATTTTAAAAATTTAAATAATTATTTACATATTTTAAATAGTTGTATGTTAGGATACAATATAAGTAGATCAGACTATATGAATAGGAAAGCTGAAGTATTGGCTCCTAAGTGTCCCGCGTCTTGGCTAGCATCCAAAGAAACCAGCCTTATAAAAAGAAATTGTAATATTATCTTAATATTCTTTAAATGGAAAGTAAGTCATGTTTGGATGTACGTAAGTTGCATGCTTTTTTTTTTTTAATTTGAAGGTTGAATGATTTGTATTTGCATCATTTTCTAAATAATTTAGCAGTTGCATGTATGGTTTGAATGTTTGCCAGGCTTCAAAGTTGTTTTTCTTATGGCTCTGTAACATTTTCTTTCCATTAGAGGGAAAACTGCTATTGAAGCTACAGATGACATTATTAATAACCAGCTCCCTAAACTGAAAGAACTCCAACAAAGTGGTGAAATACATGTTAACAATATAGATGTGTTCTGTGAGAAGGGAGTCTTTGATCTGGATTCTACCAGGAGAATTCTTCAAGCTGGAAAAGAAACAGGTTTACAGATTAACTTTCATGGTGATGAACTCCATCCAATGAAATCTGCGGAGGTATTTCTATCTTAACGTACAGTGAAGCAACTTTTTTGGTTTTGCTTTGCTTTTCTGATACTTGAATCTGTGAATGAATTTCAATTTTCACAGCCAGGGGTTGTTTTTTTCCAAAGACTTTGTGAAGTCGATCATTCATAGGTAGTAGGAAAGCCGTTGTGCAATTTTGGAGTTAAGGACATGGAGACAAATGTTGACCTCTGTGACTAACATGCACTGCCTAATCAAATATTGACTTTGCTCATTTTCCACATGTGATAAGGATGGGGAACCGAGTGGATATATATGAACACAAGGATGACAAAAGCACGGTTTATGTACAACTTGGAAAATGCTTTTTCTTTCAGTGTATGTCTAGCTGTAGCAAGTTGTACAGTAAGCACACTCAGAGCACGGGTTTAGTCTAGTGTAGGCTCAAGACTGTTTTTTAAAGACAGTCTGTCTGATTCAATGTTTTGCCATCATTTAAAGAATTCTTCATTCCTGTGTGAAAGCTATTCTTGTCTTTCTTAAAAAAAAAGATTTTTTTTCATTAAAAAAAGCCTTTTTGCTGCTTCTCTACAGAAAGAAGCAGACATTATTTATTCAGCAACCAGTGTCAGTCTTATCACCCTATTTCTTCTGCTTACTTTGTGGGTAGGAGTTAGTAATGATTTTATTCATAGCAGTCTCATAGTTTGCAAGTTCATCAGTTAGAAGTGCCACTGAAGGTGTTCTTCCAGTCTGTACTTAATACCTTGCTGTGATTAGCTTTTCATGCAGCAAATTAGAAAGTATCTTTCTGCATTTGATTGGTTCTTTCAGGCATTCTCTGTGATCTTTCTATTAGTAAATTTTACATTAATAATGAATTGTCTATTCCAGTTACTTGATGACAACATTGTTTTACTGAATTAACAGTGAGTAATGTTGACTGTTCTCTCAGCTTGGAGCTGAACTAGGAGCCCAGGCTATCAGCCACCTAGAAGAAGTTAGTGATGAAGGTATCACAGCAATGGCAAAAGCTAAGTGTGCAGCTGTCCTTCTGCCAACCACTGCCTACATGCTAAGGTAAGGACAGTAGATTGGAGGAATTAAAAAAAAAAACCCATGTTCCTGGTTCTAGCCTCTGGTAATGCCAAATATAAGCTTGTATCTATCCATTAATGAGTAGCATGGATCAGTGAAGACCATCACAAAGAGCTGAACAAGCCTCTTCATTTCTTACTTCTGGTACACATCCTTAAAAATGAGGCAACACTGGTGGTTACTCAGTTGGTCAAGGTACTTTTTAACTGCCAGGTGACTGGGGCATCACATTTGTAATGTAAGTGAATGGTTGGAGGTCAGATCGATGAAGCTGAATTGCTGTGCTACCTTGAAATTACACCACCCCAGTGAGATATGTATATAGACATCAGTGGGAGAATGGGCTTTTATGAAGCAGCTCACCATAGCAATTGTTTGCATTAGCATTGCTAAGTGAGAGAAATCCAACATATACAAATGAAATTCACAGCCTCAAGTTCCTGTTCTGAATTATCAACAGAACTGGGATGGGACAGACTATTGCATTGGTTATGCCACTGCTTGTGTTTGCAAGCCTGTCTTCGAAGCTATACAGACCAGAAAATTACTTTTTTGAGAAATAAAGATTTTCACCATGTAAATCCTGAAGTGGCTGAGGCCTGGCTAAATACCAGCATTTCATTGGCCTGCAGCCTGGTGCTTGTTAGTGGCTGTTGTCACGTGTTGTTACTGCAGAAACAGTGGATCCCAGTTCCATTTGTGCTATCCATAGGATGATTGGTAGCCAAGAGGAGAATTTGGCCTTTCATCTCCAAATGGATTGATGTAACTGAATGCATGAATTTAGCCAAACTGAGTGATGACTTCTGCTTTTGTAATTCATCATGTAATAACTAAGTGAACAGTACTGACAAACGTCTTTTTCCCACTAGACTGAAGCAACCTCAAGCCAGAAAAATGTTAGATGAAGGAGTTATTGTTGCTCTTGGCAGTGATTTTAATCCTAATGCATATTGTTTTTCAATGGTAAGCTACCCTAATACTTACAAGAACATGAAAGTACAAAATTTTCTGCTAGTACAGCTTGTGTATAGATCTTACGTGCCTAAAACATTCTTCACATTCACAAAGAGAGCTGCATGCCCAGCTTAGACATTTGGCCCTGCCTGTTTATGTGGGGTGGTACTATTTGCCAGAAGTTCTTGAAATTTGAAGGGGTTTGATTTTTCAAATGCACCAAGAGGCTTAGAAAACAAGCTTGCAAATTCCCAATTTCACATTTCTCATTTTGGAATTGGCAAGATTTACATCGTGCAGGACAACTCTGTTGCTTGAGGCAGGAGGACAGTGCTTTGGGATTTGAAAAACAGTTTTATTTGTGTATTGGTAACTCCCATTTTCTCCTTAATTTTCCCATTAGCCTATGGTGATGCATCTGGCCTGTGTAAACATGAAGATGTCAATGAATGAAGCCCTAGCAGCTGCCACCATTAATGCAGCTTATGCTCTGGGAAAATCAGACACGCATGGTTCCATAGAGATTGGCAAGCAGGGGGATCTTGTTATTATAAATTCATCAAGGTATGTTCTTCTACTGTTGTTTGTAATGTGATTTAACATAAGGGACTTAGGTCGCTGTGTCATGGAGAGTGGAGAGGTTAATGTATTCCTTGTGCTTTAGAAGTTATTTTCATCTATAAAAGGGGATACTTTTTATGTCATATAACATTATATATCCACTTTATATCATATAACATTTTATATCCATTTTCATTTTCTTTAATTATTCCAGTGGAGGATAAGGCCTAAGACTTTTAGAGTTAATATTATAAGTAACATATGCCTAATTACAAATTATTTGAAGATAACACCTGTTTATTTGTGGAAGGAATTCTGCTGTACTGTACTCTACTTGTACATTATTTCATTGTATTCATGCAACAAGTGATCAACATGTAAACATGGAATTCTGAATTGTCATCAACATGGCATAGTGCTTTCCCATGCTGAAAGCAAATATTTTATAACTGACAGAAATACTAGATGTGTGACATGCTTTTGTGCAAGTATGGATATTCTTAAACATCTCGTTGTCTTTTTAGGTGGGAGCACTTGATATACCAGTTTGGGGGACATCAAACATTGATCGACTATGTTATAATTAAAGGAAAAATTGTCTACAAAAATGGGAGCTGTGATATGGTGAGCAGTTACTGAAAGAAGACAATCATTTGCATGGATTATTTTAAAGCAACAGACAAATCAGATTTGTATTTACTATATAAATTGTTTCACTGCTCTTCTTACCACCCCTTTTATTCAAATGAACTTTATCAAGCAAAAAAAAATTTTTTTTTTAATCAATTATATCTATTTGAATTAAGACAGTTTCCTGAATATTTCAATTTGTAAAATTTGAAATAAATAAATAAAACCACAAAACCAATGACTTCTGAATGAAGAAAGAAGTTTGGGTCTGGGTAAGATTAACATGGAAGTGTGGTGTTATGTAACCTGTAGCCTATGGCTGGGGTCTCAGGCATGCTTATTTGGAATGGCTTTGGCAGTACTGGCAGGCCACAGCACCCTGAAGAAACCTTGAACTCAGCAGAAACCAGGAATCACTGACCTGTTAGGAAGCACAGTGTCTTACCTTTCTGAGAAGTCAAGTCTCTTGGTTTCTGCAGACTTGAAAATCAGTGGGGTCCAACAAGGTATCTCTTAGAAGCTGAGCTGCAGCATCCTGCCACATTTAGGATCTCATAGCAGGCATTAGAAGCAGGAGGGGAAAATGCGAAGTGGTACAGCACTCACTGGATTGCTGAAAGTTTGAATGCACTGTAGGAGATTGAAATAAGATGCACTAAACCTTAGAGATTACTCCTATAGGCAGTCAGTGCACTGAGGTAATGGTCTGGTGAGTACAGCCAGGCTCTCAAAATACCAGCCACACTGAAATCTAAAAGATGACCTGCAGTCTCATATAGATGCTCCAAAAAACCCCCACCTGAGCTCATTTATTTTAGGCTGAATCTGAAGTGACATGAGACTCATTTGTCTGTATGTGCTTGTGATGACCAGTTAAGTATGATAACTCGCTAAGAGCAATTAGGAACTTCAGAGCTTGTTTTTTTTTCCAAAGCTTCTTCTCTCTTCTCTCTTCTCTTTTCTCTTCTTACAAAGGACTGTAGTCTCATTCTGGTAGGAGCTTTATCGTGCCCTTCTGATATCCCTGAGCCTTGGGTTGTCTGTTAACATACAAAATGTAAGCCACATGTCTTTGTTCACATTTGGTTTTCCTTGCATTCATGCTGCTTGGGTGCTATTTCCCACATCTGAGGTTATAGCAGCAACCAGTGGGGAACTGTTTAGGGCTGCTGGTTTTGCTATTGGAGAAACTGTGTTATTTAGCCATATCTTGAGGCTGAAGGCAAATGTTATAACAACCAGATTGTTGTATAACAACCAGGCTTGTGTACTGTAGGGGTTCATCATCACAGCTGGTTTTATTTAACAGCTGGTTGGCTGTGAGATGGAAGAGCTTCAGCAGGAGTTTGAGATAAGCTTGTTGCAGAGTCTGTAGCTGGAAGGGTGGAAACAGATTTGGCACATGGGGGAGAGACCAGAGGAGGGACCTCACACACCATAGGGCTGTCCTAATTCCCAGGTCTGCGTATTGCTGAGCTGTAGACCCGTCACCACACTCATGTTTGTAACTTGGAATGACAGGCCAAAAGTCACCTGCATCTCAGTAGGGCAGGACAGGTCCTTACAACCCTGCACAACTTGTGCTTTCTCCTGGCCATGTTCAAAGTCTCCCTGCTAACTTGCCAGTGGGCATGTGTCCCATCCTCAGGGCATACTTCCCACTGCAGGCCCACATGGGTGGACCCATACCAGTGATTTGGCCCTTGCAGCATAGCTGATGACCTGGAGGGTTTCCAGCCCACGCTGTACCCCCTATGTCTGTGATCATCAGGTCAGTATTGCCGAGGTCACTGGTTTTTAACTGGCCCTTAAATGTCGTCACTGTGCTATGATGGGAAGCCTAAGTCCTGACTCTTTCCTTGCAAAACACACAAAGCCTGTGCCAGAGGTCGATGCTGTAACACAGAGCACATTACAACACAAGTTTCAAAGTGGAACAGGGCTGCCAGCAGCCAACTGGATGCCCAATAAGTATTGGAAGTGCAGGTCTCCAGTGCTGTTTCGCATCCACTGCTCCCACAGCTCCTCCTCCTCCTGCTCTCCCAGAAATCATCAGTACCATTTGCAAGTCTCTTTGTCAACTGGGCTGCTTATTTCTAAGCTAAGCCTTTACTTTTAACACCTTTCATCATGACAAGAAAACACACTGTTGTAGCCATATGTGGAACCTTTCTGTATTTATTGCAGGTGTGAGCCTATAGGTCTTGGAAAGCTGCATTAAATGTAGTCCATCATCAGAATGCAGTGTTTTTGTTCTGGAGCACTAATCACCACAGCATGTTCTTATGCACAGAGCTCTTTTGATTTGTGAAGCACCTGTCTCTAAAATACTTTTGTTATACAAGAATCCGTACGCTTTACATAAAATGTGCACAGTGCTGGAGGAACAAAGGGGAAAAGGGTTAAGCATTGAGATAATTTTGCTCATGGCAGAATGAAGAGTAATGCAGCAGTTTCCCAAAAGAAAAAAGAAAAAAGTGAGAATAACAAGTTTCAACTGTTCAGTATCATTGGCAGAGATACAGAGAATACAACCAAAGAGCTGACAAAAATACAGAAGGCACTGAGTAAAACATCCACTGATTTCAGCAGGAGTCTGAATGTTTTGTGTTTGAAAGCTCAGGGTGTTTAATAAGATCCATACTATAATGACCAAGCTGTCTGTCCCATGGGAAGGAACTAGGGAGCCATTTCTTTACTGCTGCTATGTGCTCCTGAGTGAGACAAACGGTTCCTTTGGGCCACTTGAAGAGATCATGTTGAGTTTTGGTGATCAGCCACGCTCAGGGCAGGTCCTGGGTCTGCTCTGTATGAGGAGAGCAATTGTTACAGTTCATTGTGATGCCTGTGGTTGTGATCATCATATGTTTTCCTTTCCAGCGATCCCAGGGAGAAGGCTGTTGGTGAACCAGGTCTGGATTCAGGGATGTGTTCTCTCCTGTATTTTTCAATGTAAGGTTCAGCTACTTCCCACACCTGTGAAATCAGAGAGTGAAACAGGGGAGTGAGAAGCAAATAAATAAATAAATAAAATTCATACTTGGTCAGACATCAGCACACAACTTCAGGAAACCCTGTGGGAAAGTTAGTGGGATGTAGGTGAGAATTACAGACCTGCATGCAGTAGGTAGGTGATCAGCAGAAACAGCTGCTGGGGCAGCCAGAGTGATGGTTGGAGAAGAGCATTTGAGTGGAGTTGAGAGGGGATAGAGAAAGATACAGCTCTGGGAGGACAAAGTGAAAGGATGTGAGATGAAAAAGTCGTATCATGTCTTGCGGCCAGGTTAATGCTCGGTGTGTAACAGCTGGGAGAGGATCACTGCTATTTGTTAGCAAATCACTGGGTCATGAGAGGGCCAAGGAAACAAATGGCAGCTGACATGGCCAAAGAGAAAGGGAAAGGGGTGGTGGCTGCTGTTCAAGGCAGAAAAGGAGAGAGTTCCACTGTTTCCTTTGTCTCTTCTTTAAGGACAGCAAGACAGCTGCAGATCAAAAGCTTTACAGTGGAGAGACTGGGATCTTACTCCATTTGGTTACTCTCCAGAATTGTTTTGTTACATTTTACAAACAAATAAGAGAGATTCCACAGTCCCACAGCTGTGCAAATACTTGGCCTGGGTTAGCACCTTTGGCTGCTGCTGTTCTCTCAGCCCCGTCCCCTTACCATGCCCAGGAGCCTCCCAGCTGGGGAGCACATGCAGCCCCTCTGAATGGGGATCAGCACCCAGAGAGAGCCCCCCCTCCCTGGCACAGGAGCACTGCCTCTGGCTCCAGCAGTGAGTGTAGTGAGGGGCATGTCCTGAGCAGAGCTGCAGCTACCCCTATGGCCAGGCCACACCGACCTGCCAGAAGCCAGCACTCGCCTTCTGCTCCACCAGCAGCCTCTGAGCAGCTTCAATGTCCGGGGCCATGAAGCGGTCCTTCATCCAAGGCCTGCAATGAGTTGGCCAAACATTAACCACCGGCACAGCCAGCAGCGGGCCTCTGAAGCAGTGGGTGACCCCCACCTGAGGCATTTATCTGATCTTACCTCACCACCGAGCGCACGAGGTCGTAGACCTTCTCCAATGGGGTGGTCGTCCTCAGGGGGCGTAAGAATTCAATGCCCTGGCAGGCAGCGAGAAGCTCTATGGCCAGAACTAGAAATCACAACAGAGGGAGAGAGATTCCAGCTCAAGGCGAGGCTTCCTTCATCAATTTCTCCGTGGTGTTTGGTGTAGCTGGTGTGATCTGCACAGCCCAGAGTGCTCACATGTACGGGCAAATGAGTTCAGTGTTTGTGTGCTGTGTATTACTGTGTTCTTCCACTAACAGCTGTATCTAAGCCCATCCTCTGCCAAATGAATAAATAAAAGAATGAAAAAGCAAGAGAGCAAGCTGTTGTTCCAACTAAGAGAGGAAAGTTTTGCTGAGAAGCCTGCATTAGCAGTTTTCTTTCATAAGAAACACAGCCCTGGGTTTACTTCATCTCTGTCAAAAGATCCAACTGCTTTTTAAAGTATATACTTAATAAAACATTTTAAAAGTTATTTCTAATGAATTAAGCCTTTTTTTTTCTTCTTTTTCTTTTTTTTTCCCAAACAACATCTGAATAGAATGGCACTAATCTGGTTACGTGCATAAGATCTATCTGGAAATCAGCATTTGAATGTTACCTTGTTCCACGTGCTCAATGACTCTCAGTGCTTTTCTTGCAGACCATCCTCCCATGGACACATGGTCCTCCGTAGCAGCACTGGTGGACAGAGAATCCACAGAGGAAGGGTGGCACAAGGCTTTGTTCTCCGAAACTGCAAAAACCCCATGAGGAAATGTAGGGCAGAACAGATAATGACACCCAGAAGCATTGGCCAGCCTGGAAAAAAGGGCCCATCCACTACTACAGGCTGCAGGAGAGTCCAACCTTCACTTCTCTTTGGAGAATGCATCAATGTTATAGATGAGTACTTTGTAAGGAACACCTTGAAAACTGCCATTGCCTTTGAAAAAGGCCACCAATACCAGTCTTTGGGTGTAGCTCACTGACTAGTTTTCTGCAAGGTATTTATCTACTCCAGTGCCCTCTGTTCCTGGTTGTTTGCATCCCCTGCTTGCAATTTACCCTTTGCTTACAGCATGTTTGTCTTCACGTGGGCTCCCTATGAACTGTAATGTCCCACAGGCCAGCATGTTTGTTGTTGCTTTAGTCATGAGTACTAGAGGAAAAATGTGCTAGTGCTTATTTTTGGTATGTTCCTCCAACACTCTGCCCTGGGAAATTCAATCTCCTCCAAGCTGTACAGTTTGATACTGCTGTAAGCACCTGGCTATTGGTTGGAGACACCAAGTAATTCAGCCTTGCTTTGAGACAAGTGGTGTCCCTATGAGAATCTAGGCATAAATATTCTCCCATTTAGAGACCAACCCTATTCAGGCAAAGGCTCTGGGTTCTGCAGAGTGGCTAGGACAGTTGTATGTGTTACCTGCAGCGTTTATTGTGAGTTTTACAGCCCTATCTGAGATGATGTGCAGGCTGCTGGTTATATAACTCACCAATTTCAGCTGCAGCTCATGGGTTGGCAACATCAGAGTGCTCTCTGCCAAGCCCATCAAGATGCAAGTACTCCCAAAGTCCACCTCAGAGCAGTAAGTGCTCTCATGGAGCAGTGGAGAACAAAAAAACCCTGAGCTGAAATAATTGCAGCTGCACCGAATGTTCATACATCACACCCAGCCAGCTCAAAGCATGTGGGAAAGAGAAGGAAAACAGGAGCAGATCCCTTGACAACTGTGAAATTACAACTGCTTCAATGTAAACTGGTCTTTGGTTTGCTCTGTTGATACTGCTTAAGCACTCACCCAGGGCAGCTGCTGTGCAGTGTGCAATCATGAAACCGGAGTTCAGACCTCCTTCAGTGACTAAAAATGCTGGCAGTTCGCTGAGCGAGGGGTTGCAGAGCCTCTCAATTCTTCTTTCACTAATTGCAGCGAGTTCGTGCACTCCGATTGCCAAGTAGTCCAAAGCCTATAAAAGACCTCCTCATTCAATCAGACGACAGGAAAATTAAACAGAAACAAAGATGTCTTTTTTCTCCATATGCTTAATTACCTTTGCAGGGTATTCACCGTGAAAATTTCCTCCAGAAATGGTCTCTGCTCTTTCAGCAAACACCATCTTGGAGGAGAAGTTAAGGCACAAACATAAATGAATAGAGCTTACATGACAGATATGCCATCTTCCTTATCTGAAGGAATATTTATACCAGTAGGCTTTTATTTGCAGATATACAGTATTACCCAGTCTCAGTTCTCCAAACTTGTAGATAGTTTTGACATGTGTTTTTTCAAATGGACTGGATGAAGAAGTGTTTAGTTAGGGAGTGGAATTATTGGGGTTGTATAGAAACACGTGTTTGGATCCTAGCACAGATGCTTGGTGGATTCTCACTGAGGCAGGTAGAGTATTAGGTAACAAGCAGCATTGCTTGGCAGCTCACAGTGGGATGTTAGAGCATCTTTATAGTGCTGAGAAGAACCCAGCCTCGCTGAACCATGAGGAGGCCTACTGATCACACACATTTTGTCTGCCTTCCTTGATGGCACACAAATCTTGCCCTGGAATGCAGGTTTCACTAATGCTGCACCACCAGATGTTTCATATGACAAGTCACCATCCATCTAAGTCCATTTGATTGCTAAACCCCACCATTCTACGTATTCAAGATAAGCATATAGAGTATTGTACATCTTTAATATGCACTAAACTGAAATCACAAGTGGTTTCCTTGCCTCAACACACACTTGCATGCACTGATGGCAGCTAGTGGTAGCTACTGATTGAAGTCTGTAGGACTTTCTTTTTTGCCTCACATGCAAATAATTACTTAGGAAAAAGAAAATGAAACCAACAGATATAAAAAGACAGACAGAAGTGTGCAAAGAAATAAAATCATATAAAGATACAGGGTTGTCCGTGGCACTATTGATTTCAGTTGTCATGATGTCCTTCACGAAAGCAATTGTATCATTTACTACTCCATGGACCTGAAAGAAAAGACAGAGTATCTGTGCTGAGTGTCTGCACTTAGCTCACCTTCGTGGTGCTGACCCAGCTGCAGGTGCTCTCTTTCCCATTGCCCCAGTCTCTACATCCACACTTGAAGACAATCTTGGATTTGCTCTTAAAATCAGTGCTGCTGTGGGACACTATCCACCCTAGACACCTGGAAGACTTGGTTTTCTGTTATGATGGCAGTAGCACTAAATAAGTCATTCTTTAGTTGTTTGTGTTTGTTCATCCTAAATGGAAGATACTTCATCAGTGGCATAAGTGTTACTAGGGGAAAGTTATTTAAAAATCCCCCACAGAAAGTGAGAAGTCTTCTTAATTACAGGCTAATTAGCTGGTAATTCCACTGATTTAATAGTTTTGCATGTGATAAAACTCAGGGCATTGAGTTCATCCAGGATGTTTGAGACTCTATAAATATATAAAAATTTTGTCACTCTGTGTCCTTTCAGAAACACCTTTCCCCAATTCAAGGTCTTAGCATCAGTGCAAAAAAAATACTCTACAATATCTGCACATGGGGAAACCAGCACCTTCCCTCTGCTCTCAGTGCTGGGCCTTTTTCAGATCCAAACACAGACGTGTGCAGGGGATCAGCAAATTACACATCAACTATTAATAGGAGCTTCGAAGTAAGGGAGAAGAAAAATAACATCTCTTCCTCTAATGAAGTCAGACAAAATGCATAGGTGACCGTGTTTCTGAGGTGGGAACTCTGATATCATTTTTTCTACTGGTAGGAAAGGAAATAAAAGTTGATTTTTACCTGTGGGCAGCAGCGCATTGTGTATGCGTCCTGAACTCGGTCACAAAAACGGTGGCTCTCTAGGAAGAACAAGGGGACAAAAACCAAATATTCCTCACACAAAAGCAAATGTGCTACAGTTGTAAGACCCAGCCTGCCCTATGCAACCTGGCACAGTGAAGGCTGATATGATTTACCTGCTATTTCTGATGGATGATGGTCAGAATCCAGAAGGGACCTGAACCGAAATGCCACTTCAGCCTGCCCTCGGTGCGGACGTACAGCATGGATGTCTAGCAAAACAAATGAGACTGTTTGCCTTTGCCTCTCTCCAATGCCTGCCAGCAAACAGAGAAAAAGCTCAGCACCCACCAGTATCAAAGGCCTTAGTTGTACCCTTCAGGACTTCAAGTGTAAGGGCAGCCACTATGTCTGCTTGCCTAGCAATGGCGCTGGCTCTTTCAACTGCTTCGCATCCCAGCGAGGTGATCATTTGTGTCCCATTGATGAGAGCCAGACCCTTCAAAGAGAGAACAGATGTTAACCAAGTCCACATACTGTGATCATCCCCCATCTCTGTGATGATTCTCACGTAAGCTATTTGAAGACCTTTGCTGAGCTCCCTAGATTGTCCTGAAGAAAATCATAATAAGCTAAAAAAAAAAAAGCTAAGTACAGCTTTGTTCTAAACAAACATGAGAGTCTTCTGTCTGCCTGTAGGAGATACTGGATTTGGCTTCCTGCTGCTACTGTTCTTCTTGTTATTTTACAGCTTCTGAGGCCCCATACCTGAGGACTCCACAAACCTCAAATCTGCAGTGTTCCCAGGTAAACTTGTTACTTGAAGTGAGGTTAATCTCACTTGATTTTAAGCACCTAGAAGTCAGCTATGTGGTTGGGGTCTGTCACATGAACTCTAGCTTTGTCAAAAGGCAGAGAGGTGCCTTCAGAAGACTTCTTAGCAGTTCCGGGATGAGATGAAGTGTTTTTGGAAGATGGCTGTCCCTCTTCAGTCACCACACAGACAATCTAAACACCACATTTGAGATTGATTTCAAGTCAAGTAGGGTGACACGATGAGAGATAAATCCCATTTGAGATGGTTCTTTATCAAATACAGCATAATCCACTCATGCTACTATTAGTAGCTGCACACTAAGCATCATAAGGTATATTTTAAAAGTGAAATGATGCATTTTTTCTAAAGTCATCCACAGCAAAAGCCTTCAGAATTCTATAACCCACTAATAGGAGCCATCTTCTCAAAGGATGCAATGCGAGCCTATGTGTAAATTCACATTTGTAACAAATCACAAAGCCTAGGTTGTAAAATGAGGACAGATGTGAATACAAGATCCCTAGGTTTTGACAGCAAAGTGAACTGCTGACTGGCAACCAGAAGGACAGATCTGCACTGGTGCTGCAAGGAATACATCTGCTATAACTGTTGGGATGGCTACTGCAATAACTTCCATTGATGGTCAGGAACATTGGAAATACAGATCCATTACAGTTACTGCTTGCAAAAGGACTGGATTCCATCACTGGTATTGAAATGGGGGCAGGAGGCAGGATGGTACTTATCTGTCTGCTGGCCTGAAGCCTTACAGTCACAGCTTCTGTTTAGCTGTGGTTGTACTGAATCTCACACACATGGGAATTGCAATGGAAATGCTGCCGTAAGCTCTGCTGGTGAATGGAGTCTCTGGCATCCCTCCACATAGCTGACTTCAAATACCTTGAAGCTTGATCTAAAATGACTGTTGGCTCATCTCAGGCTTCAGTTGCAAGTATAAAGCAACTAGTGATTGACTAAACTTGCTTTTCAACAGCTGACATTACCCTTTATTACCTCTTTTGGTTTCAAGATAATTGGTTTCAGACCATGGGCTTCGAGGACCTGTGAAGAGTTCAGTGAAAAGAGATATATATGCACATATATATATTTCAGTAATTCAGTACCCCAAACTTTAAAATCTTAACTGTTTCTGTACATTAATACAAAATAAATAATAAAAAAAACACAAGTGAAGGAAGAAAAAAAGCTTTATATTACAAACAATTTAGACTAATTTTTTTTTCTGGGCTAAATAAGGGACAGCATTTTGGGGCTTCTAAACTAGCACCTAATTTCCCAGTATCATTAAAAGAAGGCAGTAGGAACACAACTATGAGATATTGACACAGTCCATTAGCATCTACCATGTATTATCTGGTGGGAAAGAGTAATAGGAGAGAGGGCTGGAAACACCTTGTGATGATAGCTCTGCCTGACATAGGTTCATAAAAGAATGAGTTGAGGTCCCTCTAACATCAGACAATGGGAGGTCCAGGACATGCTGGCTTCCTTCCTCCCTATCTCCTCTCCACACGTAGTTCTTACTACTTCTACAGCCTACTGTGATGATACAGTTAGCAATCTACAAATAAATCTGGTGTTCAAATATTTACAGATAAGACTGATATGTTTAAAAGAGCAAACTACCATGAAAGAATCCAGTTTTGGAGATGTTCAACACCAGATCAATCTGCTGATGTACTGTGATAGGATAACAATTCATTTAAAAAAATTCCATTATAAGGCATCTTGCTGTAAAGGAGGGTGCTGTAAATTTCCTCGTGACCCTTGTTAATCTTTCTAAAATTGAATGTCCAAATCTGCGTATCCGCTTGCTACATAAATTTTCAATGTTTATAAATGCACTAGAAATGTTACTGATAAATTCCTGCTTTCAATAAATCTCCAGTTACTCCTTGCAATTTTGAATTGACCTTGGGTTTGTTGAAACAGTGTTGATGTTTATGGAGTTGAAGATGTACTAATAGCTCTTCACAGCTGGTATCACATCCTGCCCACCTCTAAATGATGTCACTGCAGTATTTTGTATTATGATGACATAACATGGTATTTCTTTTGGACATGCTGCGTATTCATTTCTGCTCCAGGGATGTGAGCCAGTTGTCCCATTCCTTAAGGTAGAAGATGAGCTGCTAAACAGAACCTACTCCCAATTCAAACCAGTACACAAAATCCACATACTCTTAAATCTTACATATTTAGCATCAGCCCAGCCACTCTTTGGGGACCACATCTTTCCCTCTCCTGTTAATCCCAACGCAAGATGAGAGAGGGGGGCCAAGTCTCCGCTGGCTCCAACTGTTCCCTTCTCAGGGATATAAGGCAGGCAGGAAGCTAGAAATAAAACAAATAAAGCTCCTGTTAGAGCAACCCCTGATATACTCCTTGGAAAACAGTGAAGCTGGCAAGTAGGTGGTCACAGTTATACTCTGTAATCAATGGCTGTGGTCAGTGGCACAAATAGGACTACTCTTTTTGCAGAGAGGTTTGGTGCCTGCTCCCAGACTAGTTGCAGCTTATAAAGAAACTGGTTCCCTTTTGAATTCAGTTCTGTAAGGAGTGAGAGGACCATGGCTAGTGGTAGTTGCATCTATAAGTACATGGCACCATCAAAATGTCACTCTTCTCAGATCCCCGTCACAGGCTTACCACCAGTCAAAGCTCTAAGTTCTTTTCTCAGCCCACTAAACATTGAGTAACTCCTAGAAACCATCTCTAAAGCCTTTTTCACTGCCTCAATTACAATGAATGTGTGAATTTAATGACCTTGAAGGTCTTTTCCAGCCTTCATGATTACAGTATTCTGCTCAGGACATGGTTTAGTGGGTATGGTGGTTCTCATGGTTGGACTTGATCTTAGGGGTCTTTTCCAACCTTAATGATTCTATGATAATGCGAAATGTAGAGACCCAGGAAATCAAGGGAAAAGGAGGGAAGAGACCAGCCTATTTCTTTTCTTTTGAAGTGCTAAGCAGTATAAAGCCTTGTATTCTTCAGGCCTCACATTTATAAACATGGCTCTGTTGTCACAGATGTGTCACAGCGTTAGAGCAATCTTCTATTCTACAGGTTTTGCTAAAAAGAAGGGAAGTTGAACTCATGTACAGTGCAGAGTCCTCTCAGTAAGAGTCCCTGTATATCCCAAAGACAAGTCCTGCACAGGAAGAAGAGCTGTTCTTTGGTCACAACTGCCATATTAGAATGTCACACCAGGCATTAAAGCTGGGTGTGAATCAGGATCTACATTATCCAGGTTCAGCTCCTGCTTCTGCCAGAAGCTTTCTGCTTAATCTTGAGCTGATCAGCTTAGTCATTAACCTTTCCTGGCATTTCTGCTCACACCCAAGTTCTTCAATAAAGCCTCTACCCATGAGGTTGTAGAGGACTGAGTCCTGGTTTCTCACAACTACCAAGTCAAGAGAACAAAAGAACAACACCCACAGCTTGACTCATTGAGCCCATCTTTAGAGAAAGAGTTAAAAATAAACGAAGCATACAAGACATGAAAACAGAAAACATAAACGTAACAACAACAACCAGTGTGAGCTTTCTGTAAGCATCTTTTTACCATTAAATGCTTCAATAACTTGCTGGAGGGTTTCTAGGGATATTCCACTGTAGCCTTTTGCTAGGACATTGATCCTCAGTGCCAGCAGCATGCGGGACCTCTCTGGGGTTAAAGGTTTCCCCACACCTGAAACAGCAGTGGGCTCAGTTACTGACCTGCTATCAACTGCACAAAAAGGGAAAATACTGAGCAATTTCCCATTACCTGCAGAATGTGAACGAACCAAGTTCATTTGAAGCTCCCTACAGAAAATAAAAGAATTACATAAGAAGCTCTTTCAAAGGCAATTTTTGTTTTGCACAAAACAGAAACAGCAAAGCAGCCCCCTCTCGTCTAGCCACAGAAGAATAAGCATGCAGTGTGCAACATGCTTCTCTGCAGTGCTTTGTCTTCTTTCTTTCCCCAAAGGAAAGGAGGGAGAAAGCTGCATACGTAACTTACATCAGTTTGCTGTTTGGAATGACAGTTCTGGCAAACTTCCCAAACCCTGTGGTGATTCCATAAACAACTGCAAGAACCATACATTTCTGGTTAAGGAGAGAAAGTTTTCAAAGTGACTGACAAAAACAATTAATAGAGATGAAAATATTCACCTGTCTGCTCCTTTACAATCCTTTCAATCACTTCTCGCGATTGCTTGACTTTCGCTTCAGCTTCAGGGGTGAGCTAGAAAATGTGCATTTTGAACATTAATTTATGTATCCTCACGTAATTTCTAATTGTAGAAAGACAAGCATGCAATTTTTAGCCACATTTGTTTAGAATCTTTACCTTTATCTTGTAGAGCCCTTTTCCTAAGTTGACCAAGTCCTGTGTTGTTAAGCTGCTGCCATCTAAAGAGATATACTACACCCAGAAAGCACCTTTTAGTTTGTGATACATATACACATAACATTGCTTAATGATCAGAGTTACAAAACAAAACAAACAGGCAGAGCTCAGCAATGATGAGAAGCTCGTGCACGCTCTCATGCGTAAGACAAGAACATCATAACAAAAACATAATAAGGAAATTATAATACATGTTTCTAGGCCCAGCAGAACTGACAGCCACCAATGCCATGAATACTGCAGCGGTTGAACTCTCAACAAGCTCTGATAAATGCAGATCATTACTGAGCTGGGCAATTGTTGGCCATTCCTACCTGTTCTGGTTCTCGATATTTGCTATATCTGAAATGTTCTGTAAAGGAAAATAAAGGGCAAAAGGGATGTCACGTGCAGTAATGTCTGTTTGATTAGAGCTGGCAAAGTGTTTTTAGAATGAAGGAACACTTCAGGAATGTGGAAATCTAGAAAACTGTGTATCTGGAAATGTAAAACATTCACGGAAGATTCAAAATAAAGGATACAAATGAACTCCTTCTGGCTGAGATGGTATGAAGTCTGGAGACATTATATCTCCTTCTATAACTAGAAGAGATATATGCAAAGTGAATAGGAACAGAATCTGACCATATTCTACGTATAGATGAATAAGTTATTAATTACAGTACATAATGTTAAGTAATATAATTTGCTGTTGTCAGCACCAAACATGTTTGTACGCCTCCATAAAAATAATTCATGTAGTTTATTTTATGTACTTCAAAGGTGACAACAGGACAGTCCAATGCCTGGACATGCTCCATATCCCAGTCATTGACAGTAATATGACATCTTACACAGATGATCGTACACAGCGTCCCGTAACTTCTAAACCTGAAATAGTTCTTACTAACAAAGGTTGCATTTGGTTGTTTTTCCATACAAATCTTTGACACTGTCTGGGATACAACTTCAGATGAACTGGAGTGCAGCTGCTGACTCAGACACCAACACAATCGTTCTATCACACATGGCCTAAGGTTTCACTTACCAACTTCAACAAACTCGTTGTCCTCCAGGGCATCCTCCACTGTATCATCAAGATCCAGCAAGCCGAGACCCTTGCACCTCCGAACAAAAAACTTTACTTCTTCCACGGAGGTAAATCCGCCGTTATCAGGTTTGTTCTTCATGTACCGCCTCACAGCCTCCTTTCCCAGCCACCCAACCGTGTTCGTGCCGTGTGGGCATGGCACTGCCAGCCATTCTCCTCGGACATGCACTGTGTATCTTAGCATGTTTCCTCCCCAGATTGCTCCTCGCCTGAGAGCAGCCGCAGAGTGAAGCAGCCTTACATTCACACACGGCAGCCTGGAGAGCGATGCCTGGCTGGATTGCAGCGTCCCAATCAGATAAAGGCAAAAATCCTCCCCCAAAGATCCCCACCTTTGTAAATAAGTGAGATCGATGCATTCAGCTAACTTTATCCAATCAAACCAAATCGAGGGAGCACACCCTTTTCCTGGAAAGAGAAAAGGAAGCTACTGCCACAGGATTTTTTTTTTTTTTTTTTTTGGCCAAATATCAGGAATATAAAAGTGAAAATTTAGGAGCTGGAGTTTATGTATCAAGAATAAATAAATCAGAGTAAGAGGAAATGGGGCTGCTCTGAAAACTTAAGGGTTTAAAGAGAGTTAACAGAGCTGTCTGTTAACTAAGAGCATGGCATTAGGTTGCATGAATGAAAACCTCCATGAGGGACAGGACTGGAAGGTATTCAGCCCATGATGGACTGGTCATGGCTGCTGGGATTGAAAGGAGACTGGACTATACCCTTAGCTCTTAGTGTAAGACTAAGACTACACTCATAGTCCATAGACACTGCTCACTCCTGTGCTGAAGTTTTAGGACACAATATTCTATTGCAGGTGAGAAGATTCACCAACTTCCCTCCATTACCCTCTCACATGTGCTTGGGATGATATTGTCAGAATGGTAACAGTAAGTAACAGGACACGTGCACAGCGCCAGGACTGGTGCTGCTATGCCAAATTTCTTCTGCAGATAAATGCAAGGAAGAAAAAATATGCAGAAATACCAATTAGAATGGTGCTAAAACAACATTCAGCAATGACCGTGCCCACACAAAAGAATGGTGGAAGTCAGTGTGTAGGAGTTATCACCTCAGCAGAGCAGGACACACTACTGAAAGCCATACCTGCCACTGCCTCTTTCCTAGCTCTGGCAGTGAGAAGTCAAGATCAGATGGCAGTATGAACCGCTAACTGCTAAATCACTATACAGGATATGGACTTTTATGACTTAAAAAGTTATCTCAAAAAGCAGTGAAAAGAAAGGGTTTCATTGCAATAGAATAGCTCGAATGAGTACTAGATATCCCCTCTTCCTACCAAAACCTTTTCTGAGAAGATCTCCATTCATTCAGGCATAACTGTCACAGGAGACGGATTACATTTTGGAGTGAATGGAAGGGACAGTGTAATCTGAAATAGAGAAAAATTTCTTTCAGTCCTTTCAGTGAAGTTTCCCACTAGAAGTTATTGCTCAGAGGGGTAGCAACAAAATAACTGAATGTCTCACTAAGTCCTTAGTGCAGGAAAGCCTTAACAGTTTAGGCTGTTTCATTGCTATTCATTTAATGCTATTTTGGTTCCAAAAAAGCCAGTACTTTAATGACTTTGTTAAAAGATGTCTGACAGAACATTAATTAGAAAGTTAAGCTCATTTTAGTTAACAGACATATGTAGATTAGATTAGAATGGAAGGACCCAGAGTAACTTGATATGATAAAATCTAATGAGATGCATTCAGGCCTTAATTTATGTTAGAGCTGCTAACAGGAAAAGATGAATCTCCTGGTGAAATACCTAGCTTCATCTACTGGAAAGCCTATACTAATTAAAACTCAGAAGAGAAATAAATTGAATGAGCCTCCATTTCCATTCTAAATGAAGCAATTCACCATGATTTATATTCAGTTTTCTTTCTCCTTTAGAATAGCATTTTCCTGCTCTCTGTTATTCCTTGATATGGGGTCATCTCCATGTCAACGAATTAAAATTATGCCAACTGATCATTTCCAGGAAAAGTTCTTCTCAAATTCACTTCAAAAAGTAACCCATAGATGGCAGTATTCACAACGGCTTCTTCTAAACTAACAACTAGGGATAAAATAAGGGGGAGAAACACAGCCAGCCCTCTTCCTGCTTTTAGCCTCATCTCTAAATTGTTATATTAGCATAGAGCAGTCACAGCCAGAGCTGTTTATAAAATGGAAATATTAAACAAATTCAAAACCATGAAGGAATTAGAAGTTTTAAAAGTATCACAGAATCAAAGAACATCCCCAGGTGGTAGGGATCATTGAGTCCAACTCCAGGCTCCACACAGGACTATGCAAAATCAAGCTGGGCTGAACAAACCAAAGGACCTCAGCTACTCCTCATCTTGCCCTTAGACCCTTCACCATCTTCATAGCCCTCCTTTGGTCACTCTTTAATAACTTTATGCCCTTCTTATATTGTGACACCCAAACATGCACCCATTGCTTGAGATGCGGCCACACAGCAGGGCAGGGCAATACCTTCCCTCAGCCAGCTGCCAGTGCTGGTGCACCCCAGGGCATGATTGGCCCTTTGGGGTGCCAGGGCACACTGCTGGCTCACGTTCAACTTGATGCAACCAGAACCCCAGACCCATTTGCATGGGGCTGTTCCCCAGCCTCTCCCAGTCTGCATGTATAGTCCGGGTTGCCCCATTTCAAATGCAGAACCCAGCACTTGCTTTTGTTAATTTTTTAGTGATTGGTGATTTCCTAACCCTCTTACTTGTCAGGATCACTCTATGCTGAAGGGAGTCAGCAGCTCCTCTGAATTTAGTGTCTTTCAGAAATGTACTTAGTATACTTTCAAGTCCTGCATCCAAGTCATGGACAAAAACATTAAGTACCATCCCTAAAATGGAGCCTGGCAAAACCTCACTAGACTGGTCAGCAGCCTGTTGTAATCCCATTCACAGGAACCCTTTGAGCCCAACATTCACTCACTGCATTATATTTTTGTCCAGCTGTATGCTGGACATTGTGCCCAAAAGAATACTGTCAGAAACTTTATCAAATGATTTGCTGAAATGCAAAAAGATCACATCAACTGGCTTCCCTTGATCAATTAGGTGGGTAACCATGTCACAGTAGGAGATTAAGTTCATTAAATAAGACTTCTCCCTCATGAACTCACGAGGACTGCTGACCAATGACTGCACTGTCTGCTATTTTTCCACAACTCCCAGAATAATCTTCTCCATAACTTTGTCAGGAACCCAAGCGAGACTGACAGGCCCATAATTAGCAGGGTTGTCTTTTTGTATTTCTTGAAAATTACAATGTTTGCCAGCTTCCAGTAAATAAGAAAACTATTATTTTGATACTATTATTTTGATCAATATACAGACAAGTGAGCAATAAAAAGATTTATTTTTCAGTTGTCAAATACTTGAAGTTTTAATTGTATATTGCTATGAAAAAGAAAGCTGCGCACAAAGAGCCACACTCTTTCCAGGTTTTTAGATTCCATGACTGACAAATGACTACATCATTTGTCTACATCAGGACATTTTTTTGTGTTCTACCACTTGCTTGCAAGGAAACCCTTCTCCTAGTTCCAAAGATTTAGTGATTTTTGCAATATTACATGGAGTTGCAAAATAGAAAGGACCAAATTTGATCTAAATTAGTACCAAAGCAGCAGAACATTTTATGCCATCATTAAGCATGCATATGAACAGTTTGCAGAATCAGCAGTAAGAAAATTTCAAAGGAATCAATAAGTTTGTCACTGATCCTGATTCAAGTCTTTGCCCACAAGCATTGATGTGACTGGGTGCATACAGGCTCTATGCTCCAGGAACGTCTTGACAGCAAGATCTCGAGACTTGTCAAAATTGTAAAGGTCCCTATTAAAAAAACAAAAAAAGAAAACACTTTATATACTGTTATGAGAAAAGAAAAAGACTATGGAAAAAAAACAACAGTACAATGGCTCAATGGATATTTTCTCAAGGTTTTGCTTTTCTCTTGATAGCTTCATGTTTAGGGACATACACTTTCACCTTAAAAAAAGCCAGAAAGTGGAAAGTGACTCTGAAGATAATCTTGTTTGCAGCACATAGAAAATTCTGTGCTATATCACTATAAAGCATAATATAATGCATACACAATATCTAGAATTACTTATCCTGTTATACTAAAAACGCCAACAGCGTGAGCTTCCACAACCTGGAGATTACTTCTACCTGAACAAGGGTCGAGTAAACTTCATCCTGCCCTGCTCTGTTGCCATTTTTAGAGCCAGAGGAATTGCTTCTTCCCACTTGGACTGGATGCAGAGGCGCAGCCATCTGGAACAAATAAATAACAGAACTTTCATTTGCTGCAGTTAGTCAGCTTATGATTCTGCTCCTGTAAACACCCCAAGTGGTGCTGCTCATGGGAATGGAATTCTGGCATAATTTCAATATAAAATATTTAGATTCTGAATGGCATGGTACAAAAGCAAACTTTTATATGTTATATGAACAAAATGCTTCAACTTTTCTCCAAAATATCTGATGTTTTTTTCCTGAGGCAATGTATTTCTATTATATTACCGTAGCATCCACTTGCATCACTCTGAGCTGAATTACATAGCACTTGTCACATGGGACCCAGTTATTAAAAAAATCAAAAAATAAAATAAAAAACCTGCAAACAAAGCCTCACCAACAGCTGGCACATACTTGTTTTAACTATGGGAAAATGATACTGCAAGAAACCAGAAAAATACTGTATGCTTGAAAATAATTAGTTTTTCAATAATAAGGAACAAAGACCTCTAAGCCAGAGGTAAGGTAGAATAACCATCACTACTGCAAATGTACCCAGTACATAACAGTGGCAAAATATGTGAGTCATCATAATATTTGAAAATGACTGTGACCTCAAAAATACATTTTTAAAAAACAAGTGACCTTTTTTAACAATGTGTAGATATCATGTAGAAGAAGTAAGAATCAAGACATGCAGCTAAAGTCTCTCCTACTTGTTTAGACACTTCCTTTCATATTTACACTTATTTTAAGAGACAGAAGCTCTGTAATAGCAGACGTTAAGATGTGCCAGCATGGGACATCTTTCTCAGTGTAATTAGGAAAAGTTTCTGTCACATCAGCAGAAGATCCAGAACTCATTAGACCAGTCTACAAGATCTGTTCCTCACTGAATACCTAAAATATTTTTCAAGCATCTCTGAGTCACAGAGAGACTTGTGATTATATTGTTTAATACAACCCCTAAAATAAATTATAAGGCCATCAGTCTCTTTGCTAGCCTGATAGATGAGAATGAGGCACAGCTAACACACTGCTCATTTCTTCTTGCTCTACTAGACTATGTTTGCCAAACTCGTAAGTAACAATACCACTCTGGTAAAGCATGTTTACAAGCACATACAAAATACAAACAACTGCATCAGTTCAATGAAACAGTACGACTCAAACCATTTATGAAGCAGGGCAATTTGTTTTATGAAAGCATTTAAGGCTAGAAAAACATCCATACTAGAACAAACCTGAATCGTATTTCAGAATTGCTTATAGCATTGAAGTCATACACTTGCTGCATTCGTTTGACATGTGACAATGGAAGAGGAGCCTGAAAAAGGCAATTGCATTGTCAGAATAAGGCAGAGGCACACCTCAAACCACATACCTCAAAAATAAACAGGATCATTCTAGAGAACTGAAGTTATATGGGATTTAAAAACTTTAGCTGATAAACTTGTTCCTTTCACCTTTTCAGAGCATCAGGGAAGGGGCAATGAGTAATCGTTAGCGAATTCCCACATTCAGTACCACCAGTCATTTCACATCTTGAAGTACATTCTATTTCATTAGCAGCTTTTATAGCTTATTTGCAGGTCACAGACTTTAATTATAGAACAAATTCAAGCAACTTCTAATATTCTTTTTATCTTTCGATCCAAAATA